GGCCCCACGGTCCTCTGCCCGCAGTTGCCCGCCTGCTGGCCTCTGCTCCCGGGGCCGACTCGGGCCGTGCGCCCTGGAGGTCAGCAGGAAAGGCAGGGCCGTGCCCTCCTGCGTCCCCGGATCCAAGCGGGTGGCGCCGGTGGCACGCGGGATAGGCGGTGAGGCTTCCGCCGTGGAGCCGGCCCTGTGCTTGGAACTATGTGCGGATTCTGATCTCTGGTCCTTCCGTCATGAAGAGACTCTTACGTGAGGTTAGGGAGGCGCAAACGAGTAGGCGGGTGGCCGAGTCGCGAGTGGAAGAGTGGAACGTGGCGTAGCCGCTCGGCTCTGGGTTGGCCCCTCCTACCGCCTCGGTGGGGATGGCGCCCCCTAGAGCCGAGCCGAGCCTTAGCGCTCACTTGGCTGAGCACCAGCCTTACTAATTCATCAAGGCATTGATTGGTGTTACACTTTAATATCAGGTCAAGGACATGCCAAGTCCAGAGTGCGTCTCCCGAACTCATGGTCAAAAGCACCGGCCATAGGGCAGTTTCCCTTTTTGTGGCAAAGTGACAAGTTCACGGCTGGAAGCCCGCGCGTTTGCTCTGTGGGCGCAGGTGTGTGTTCAGGGTTGAGTAGAGAAGTTTAGGTGGATACCAGAGATGCGTATGGAATTGCACATGTCTAGCTTCGGCAAGGCCATGAGACTGACGATTGGTACGTTCCAAGGACAGCCTTATCGGGAAGCGAGTAGAAGGCCGCAGCTTCCCTGGTACTCAGGGCTCCTGGTTTCCATGGCAACACCCCATCAGAAGTTACTGGCCAATTGAGTTACTGTTGTACTTGATATTTCCCTCTGGTGTATCACCTTTTCAGGAGTCAGGGCCCAATCCACTAAGCTAAAACAGCCATGTTCAGACGGAATCGATATTTCCTCGTGGCTTCTCAGTTCGTGTTCAGGTCTGGGTCAGAGAACCCAGGTCGAGGAGGGGGAACTCCATAAATGGATACAGATTCCCTAAGTCCGTTACCATGGAGACATGGACCAGCATATGTTACCTTTTTTTTTTTTTTTTTAAAACCATAGCCGAAGGTACTGATTTATCTGGACTTCAATTCCAGCTGACGGAGGGTGACCTATGGCCTCCCTCCGCATATTCTCAAGCCTTGACTGTGTGCCTGAGAACCTTGGCACTCACATACTGATCTCTTGAAACTCAGATATCCCAACAGGACCACTTTCTTCCTTCACCTGTGCTCCAGACACTGTGGGCACTCATGGTGCCCAGGGTCTTCCTTACTCACCCAGGGCCTCCCTGAGCCAAGACGCCTTTCAGGGCCTCTCAGGCTGACAGTTGGAAGACAGCACTGTAACACTGAGCAGAAAGCTGCAAAAGAAGTTGTCACACGAGTGTAACGGCACCTGTGTCATTAAACTTTGATTAGTCTCTGAGATGAACTTAGAATTCATCGGCAAGGTAGAAGGCTCGGTAAAGATGGGCTTCTGAGCTTTCCTTGGTGATCATTTTGGGATGTTTTTTTTGGGGGGGGGTAAGGTGTCTCACTCGTGGAAATGAAGGAAGGCATTCTGGAAAGCAACCCAGCCCTGATGGTTCCAAGTATGTAAAACCTGATCTAAAGTAACAGCAACAGACCTGGGATGCCTTTTGGGTTGACCTCTGGGGAAGGAGTCCTTGGTTGGCTCAAGCATCCTCTAGCCTGGCCAGTTTGGTGGTTGATCTACCTCAGCCTTGGGCAGGTACATGCTTAGGAACATAACGGATACACATTCACCGTTTCTGATTGCTTTTTTTCCCCCTCGATTTTCTTGGGTGGTTTCCTAGTTACTGAAGCTTGCCTGAGCCCTGTGATTATTCATTGACTATTATGGCTCGATTCGCAGGGAACCTGGGGCCTTCCTGCAAATTGAATCTAATAAAAGCACACCCCTCTGCTCCAAGATCAAAAGTCAATGGTGTTTAGGAGGAAATGGAAGCCGGGAAGGTTCCTAAGCAGAGTGAGCAGGTGGACTGTGGAGGCAGAGTGAGTGCCAGGGCAAAGGTAGCCCCTCTCTGAACAGAAGGGAGCCATACTATGAAATAGCATAAATATGAAATACCTAGAGAGTGAAATGCAGACCGGATTCTTTGGAATCGGGGCATAATTATTTTTTAAAAAGTGACTAACTCACTAAGCCCTCTTTTTCAGAAACAGTATGGCAGTGCAGCTTCCTGGGAAGCTGATTTGTGTTTACCTTGTGATCCTGGTCAATAGCACCGTCTCAGGGGGTTCCCAGGTCCAAGTTAAACATTTAGTGTGAGGAGGTGCACCATTTATTCCCTCAGAAAACACAATGTGAGGTGGCAAGAGGACAAAGAGGGTCGAGACTGAGTTCCTGTCCCTTGGAGAAGCCAAAGGAAAGGAGGGATTGCTAGGTTCCACAGAGTGGGACCCTTTGTGGGACAGATGGTGTGGAGGAAGAGGCAGGTGGTGAGGCCTGGAACGTGTGGAGAGGTAGAATCATCCCAGTTCATGTATGACTGCATGTGTTAGGGAGTAGTGACCAGTCACAAATCCCACTGATGTTGGATCAAGGCCAGATGAAGCCAGGCTTTCTAGCCCTACACCTCCCCAAACCAACCCTCTCTTGCCAGTTTGGTGGCTTGCATGGGTACCAGGAATCTGCATGAGGTGGTTTCAGCAAGACAGCCTCCCACTGAAGTGGTCAAGAAATGCCTGTTGGGTCCTAGGGCTTCTGCAATGTCAATATGGGCAGCCCTGGGAGGAAAAAAAAAAAAAAAAAAAAACCTTTTCCTGCTCTCCCTCTAGCATATTTTCTGCTGGCCGGAGGCCTCTGGTGTCTCTCAGGGCCCTAGGCATGAGGACAGACTCCTTGCATAGAGCCCTGCTACCCTAACCTCTGAGGGCAGCTGTTGAGCCACGTTGCCTGGAATCGCCCTCTCTCAGCCTCCTGCTGGCTATACAGCTGTGGCCCTGCAGGCAAGTTTCTTTGCCTCTCTGGTCTGAGTTTCTACCACAGTCCCTAGTTTCCTGAGCTCAGAACAAAGGTGGTTGGTCACACAGTGAACTGAAAGTAGGGAATAATAGCAGTCCAGTGAGGTTTGGTCTATGCCTCCCAGCCTTACCTCTGATGGCTGCATACCCTACCCTCACAGCAAGGAGGGTCAAGACCAGGGCTGTCAACAGGGTCCATGGCTTCTTTGATTTTCTTGGCTTTGGTAGTTAGACCGAGGATTGAATCTCTGAACACTGAAGCTGGAAAACTGCAGAGCCAGGAAATAAGGTCAATGCCTGTATTTGCAGGAAAGGAAACTGAGGCCTAAGAAGGTGCAGCTCCCTTCTCAGGGATATTTGGCAGTTTCCTTACAGGACTGGACCACCCCTCTGGCCTCGGTGCCGCCCTGGGTCCACCACACTGTCACCCTTCACAGCTGTTTCCCTTATAAGGCTAAGGGTCTGTTCTTGAAGCACATCAGCAGCTTTGAGAATCCACGGTGATGCTAACCTGCAGGGTGGTGTGCCTTAGGCATGTCTGAACAGCTGAGCTCATAATAAAGACCCGTGGTGTTTGTGAAATTGATAATCTCTAAATAAATGTGTCTGTTCTGAGTCAGACCCGTACAGATATATGATTTTTTTCTCTCTCTGAATCAAACATGACTCCTACATTTGCTCTGAGTAACCAGGATCACTGAACCACAAATAAACTAAGAGTTGGTCATGATTTTTTCAGGCCCACCAGCAAATGCTTAAGGAAACTTCAGGCTGTGACATCCTTCGGAGGAGGCGAGACAAAGCCTGGGTTAAGATGCAATGCGGATGAAAGACCAAAAGAGTCATGTGACAGGCTTAAGTAGGCATAGCAGGAAATCATTAAGAAAAGGGATAGTTCAGTTTCAAACTTCCAAAACCATGTGCTGATGCAAACTGATGTAGAAGGGGTAGGTTTGCTGAGGTCACGGAGAACCGTTGAACACACTGGGGGGTTTGTGAACAGTGGGAACTTGGATCTCCTAGTTCTGGGACCTGGACGTCTAAGGTGAAAGTCATGGCTTCAGAACCTGGTGATGCCTCTGAGGAGTGGCTTCTCAGCTGCCATGAGGCTCTGCACGCCCCCAACACGTGTTCTTAGTATCGTGTCTATTCCAGAATAGCTGAGCTACACACCCCTCTCCATGTGCTCTGCTCCAGCTGCATGCCGTCTTCAAGTGCAAAACCCACCATCTGTTCCTTTTATGTTTGTGTTTTATTTTTATCTGTGTGTATCTGCATGCCCACAGAGGCCAGGAGAAGGGGTTCGAGCCCCTGGAGTTGGAGTTACGGGGAGTTGTGAACTGCCTGATGTGGATGGGTGCTGGGAACCCAACCTGGGTCACTCTGGCAGAACACCAAGCATTTTGTAACCACCAAGCCATCTCTCCATCCCCAGTGCAGCCAAATTAAATATGACTTTTGATGCAGTCTAAGTAGGAGGAGGATCACCCTCCTTTCTTAGTTTTCAGTGAAGGTCAACAGCCCTTGTCTTTTGGTAGATTCTCACGGAATTCTGGAGTTGACCTCCAGTCTCCTAGCAAAGAAAACACCCCTTTGGATTCTAGCGGTGCTATTACCATCTTGAAAGTCACAGATTTTGAACAAGAGATTCTTTTTCATTTTGCACTGGGACTCCCAACTCAGGCCTGGGAGGGACATCTAAGGTGCAGGAAGCCGGCAGTCACTGCTGTGAGCAGGTGGTGGCCCCAGCTGCAAAGGCCGTCTTGCTGTTTCCCTCACTCTCTCTCCTTTTTTTTTTTTTTTTTTAATCATACTCAGTTATCCATTTCTGTTTGTAGATACATGGGAAGTGGCTGGTCTGTGACGATGGCTGAACTGTGTGGGGTGTTTAACACCATAGTGAGAACACAGTTCCATGTCCGTTTCTTGGACCAGCCTGAGCTGGGAAGGAAAAGACAAGGCCATGGTGACCTCTAGCCCCTTATGTCCTGTCTCAGCCCCTAAGCCTCCTTCCTGGCAGAGTGGGGAGTAGCAGAGCCTCCTCCAGACACTTGGCCACCCCAAAATAACTGGGTTCTGTGTCGAGAGAGACAATGGCAACCCTCTTCCGGCACTGAGCCCGAGCATATGTGCTTCTTGGTAGCAAGTGTGAAGGCTGACTAAACTTAGCCAGTGTGCCTCCCGTTTCTTCATTTCCATCCTACCCTTCGGTGCTTGTGTCGGAAGGAATGGACTGTTTCCCTGCCAAGAACCACCTGCTGTACTTTAGTGGGGAGGAAGCAGGCATTTGACATTTAGAAAATGACTTTTCAATAGAACTTGTGAATTTGAATTCTTCTATG